TAAAATTTAAACCTTGGTCAGAAAATCTACTTAAATTAAACGATTAAAATTTTTCATGTAACATTTCTACTTAACTTCATTATAATATATTTTTTAATGGGGAATTCAAAAACCATAGATATAATATCTATATATTATTTAGAATTTATTTTTAAATGGTTGCTGACATTTGAATAATTTATATTATGTATATGTATATATTATGAATACACTGATGTTTYGATTTATATGAAATAAATTTACTTATTATGCTCAACATTTTTTAACGGTGTGCACCAGGATTCAAGAGAGACATATAAAGTGACAAGTACCTACACCTAACTACAGATCGGAGTGTCAGGTGGAATATAAAATGAAAATCAGTTATACAATAAATTATTTTTAACAGAYTATATTATATAACATAATATTATAATGATTATTAATTATTAATAATAAATTGTCATATCATCGTAACGGTGCAGATGTCACTGAGGTAATGATTATTATTTTTATTTTAAAACACAATATGCGCACGCCGAATTATTATCGACCCRTAGTACACTTATATTATTGTGACGCAACACGTAATATATTAGTCCGTCTGCAAAAATTCGGAGGCTTACTCCATACGATACGAAATTTCGGTAATCGGAGTCACATTTTTACTGCACGTCATATTGTGCTATTGTCGGCGAAAATCGTGCAAGTTTTTCCGTTCACCCAGTTGGGCCACTGCGTATTCGACGTCAGGAAATCGAACGTTGGCGTCAGGCACCGGAAGCGGTCGGCTAGTCAAAACGATCTTCCGGATTTGTAGTCGGTCGTGTTCCGATGCCACCGGACGTCGCGGTCGGTTTCGTAGGGCCGTCCATCGCTTTTCCGACCAACTGTCTGTCGGGAGTTGGTTCACGACACGTACCGGCGTCGGCTGCTGCTTCGGCGTGACAACGAGCCGACCGGCTGTGGTGAGCTGGCTGTCCACGAGTCGATCGTGTGTCGGTTGCAGACTTTCTGTGAGTGCATCACTGGTTGGTTGCAGACTTTCTGCAACTGCATCATTTGTTGGTTGCAAACTTTCCACGTGTCCGTCATCCGCCGGCTGTAGATTTTCCGCGTGTCCGTTATCAGTTGGTTGTAGACTTTCCACGTGTCCATCACTGGCCGTCTGCTGCAGTCCGTTTACCAAATCGTCGACTGCAATCGATATGGTAGTCGCCACAGCTTCCGCTTCTGTTTCCGATTCGGTAGTCGTTGCTGGGTCTTGCTGTTGGTACGCGTCTTGTTCATCTTGTATATCCGTCACGTCATCAGTGACTGAATACGTAGCGACCGAATCAGGTTTGTCGAAGTCATCCAGCGACCATTTCTTGTCTGGATTAGCAAAGAACAACGCCGGTGGTGGGAATCGGACGGCCGTTAGCATGTGAACGCTCTCTTCGCTGGCCATYGGAATTTCGGGAAGCGTAACGCTGTCCACGGTTATCCGCCGCTCACTTGCTTGCTCCACCAGGACACAGCTGACCGTTGTCGATAGCGACCACCAAAACGTCTGTACGTAAAACGAAAAAAAGAAAATGTATAATTTACTTGAATTAGTCTGAAMATTTTGTATAAGTACTTCCGAAAGGTAATAATCTTTCAAATATAATAATATAAAAAAACAGTTGTGGAACGATGTTTATGTGTCAGCATCACAGGTGCAATTTTTATGAAATCTTTAGAGGAGAGTACGATGAGTAGAACATAACACACATCATTTACAAACGATTTTTTTATGCATCTTATTTTAGGGGATGGTTAAACTACCTACTTGAGAATTTCGTACGGATTTGACAACTTTTGACGAAGCTAAGCTCACAACCAAACTCCATTTCTCCACATATTGCACAGATGCCATAGCCATATGAGTATAGGTAAACGTAATCTATATTAAGGAAATAGGAAATAATCGAGGAATATACTATATTAAATGGGTTATCGGTGGAATTAATTTCAAAATCGGGTTCGGTCGCGTTTTAATGAAATGCTATGCAGGTTCATGTTATATTAAAATTTTAAACTATTGGTTTGATGTGCACGCGGACCGCATAGGAACTCAAAACTTCATTACTTCATCTGTTTTCATTCGTCTTCATTCTGTTGTATTAAATTTTATTTTTTATAAGTATAAGCAACTTGGTTCCGTTCGACCATACAGTAGGTATTTTGAGTGGGTTAGGTACTGTAAAGGATGTGTACCTATATTTTGAATTGATGATATAATTATTGTATATTATGTTTATAGAAAACTATTCTGAGCAAAGATTGTTTGTCGCCTAACATTACTGCGTAATTTAATTATGTTATTACTATTCGAGTAATGTATTTTATAATTAGTAAATATTAATAACTACTGTATTAAAAATCAAATAGTTTGAGACAAAATATTTTGAAAAATTTACTATGTATAATGTC